GGAAGAAATTCAATGAATTGTCATGAACATAGAAAAAATTTGCAATGAACGTCAGCGCGCGCTGTAATCATAATTTTGGCCCACCCTGTAGAGAATTCAAATTTAGTAAGAGTATAGGGAGCAGATGAGAGCTCTGATGATAGGTGGCAGGACCAGTCTCCTTCTGCAGGGGGCGGAACTCGCATAAAAATGTGAAATTGGACGTAGAGCGCTAAAATTCGGTAGAAGCCGGGAACCTGATGGTAGAAGAGAGAACTCATCTCCGCCCACAAGAGGCGTGGAGTGAGCAAAAATGTTCAATTCGGACAAGTGAGAGTTTTTACCAAATCGTTTCCAAATGCGACTCTGTCTAGACACGAAGAAGCAGACAAGATGAGAATGACATACTTCGAATCATCAAACACCTCAGAAAAGCCCCTTCACATCCTTTTTACATAAATTTGGGTCACATTTGGTTTTGCTCCTTTACCAATGCCCTCAGAAGTAACTTTGTTTCCTGTTATTACTAAAGTCAGACGTGAACGTTTCACGGACCACTGCGCGTCAAGATTCCATAGTAGGTCATAAACCTGCTCGATACTTGAAAGGGTCACAAAAATCGAAAATGAATGTTATACATGGAAAATAAAACCGTGGCCCGTATACGGGCCACGCGATCGTCAATGGGTTAACCTTCAATTTGTCATTATTTTCAAGATGAACACGAACAAATCGAGACTTCTATTTATAAGCATGTGCATCGGCACATACTGAATATCATTTGCATGCCCTCTCAGTTCTTTGTCAAATTTTATGTTCCCTTAAGCATAATTCTTCCAAAGAAGAAGCGGGCGGTTCGCCGATTATACAGCTCCGTCATAAGAAGTAGGGGAGTCCGGCGCTAGCCGGACCGTTCTGTTTCACGACCCGACTGGTAATAAGAAGCATCAAGCAACTCAAGTTTCCATATATATATTCTACACAGGCACCGGTTCCTAGTTAAGAAACAGGGCAATTTTTGAAAAAAAACTCGATTACTTATTGGAGCGAAGATAGGGCACTTAATTCTCGCAATTCCGAAGGTGAAGGGTTTTTCACATTTAATGGTATTTTTTATTTTCTGTACATATTGTTTTTCTACGAATTTTGCATCAAAATTAAGGCAAGACGTAGCTCGAGCCTACTGATCAAATCCGTGGGTATGGGTACATTCACCCAGAACTGGATGGAGACGGCAAATCGCGCGGCGAAATTCGTGGCGATTCCAACGACTTTAGCGCCTATCATCGGGGCCCATATTTAGAGTAGAGTCGATAGGTACGATCACCTGACCATACTAATGTACTCTACATCAAGTTTGTGCCCCAATGATAGGTGCCAAGGTCGTCCTAAACGTCACGAACCTCGCCGCGCCATTTACCACGTCTATCCAGTTCTGGGTGAATGTTCGGTCCCCCTTTCAGCGCCATTGTGCTTCAACTCTCAACCGAATCACTAAAAATGAGTTCTCTTGGGGCATAGCATGTAACTTAAGTGGTTAAAATTAGTGTAATTCATTTTTGGGAAATCTTTCAATCGTATTTGGCCCCTGATCTATGGATAAGTAGGTTACCATGCCAAGGGGTTGACAGGTCCAGCACGAGATTTGTGTCGGATAGCTAACAAATGAATGGAAAAATGAATGGGCAATGGAATACTGGTAATCGAGGGAAAAGATGATGTTTATCAGTCGTATACCTATTTTATTTCGTGATGAGCTGGCCCACGCCATTTCTTGCCAGAATCGCAATGGTGATAAAATGTCTGCTGAGCCTACACGACGAACTTCACGGAATAGCTCATGTAAATCATTTCCTTCATTCTGTCATACAAATCTATCACACCAATCACACCATTACATCTATCATTCCAATCAGCCGTTTTCGAAGAATTTCACCACCCGACAGTTATCGCGCTACATTACGCTTATTTTCCCTGGTAGGTCCTTTAATAGCGATATCGACTAGAAGACGCGGGTGCGCAAATCGGTATAGGTCTTCGTAGAATTTATTACAATATTTCGCTGGTTCTGTTAGGGTCCAATCATTTCAGACCCACCCTGATTCATGGGAGAAGTGGAGAAGATTTCAGACGGGACGACTCAGGAAACGGCCGACGATCAAGTGCGTATGAGAATTTACTTATATATGAGCCTATTTTAAATAGTATTGTTCGGCTACTATTGTGAATATTACCGTTTAAGGATGCTCCCACAGCCTGTGGATCGGGGGCAGTTACAGTAGAGAGAGTTGATATAGGTAGACATCTTGTTTTCAGTTTTTGTGCTTAAAAACCTTTTAATTACCCATTGAACGTTATTTCTTGCATCTCAGATGGATACGTCATCAACCATAGGGAACCAACACCCATCATTTGGACGCCGTTCAACAGGTACATAATTTTTATTGTAACCTTGGAAATACGATCCTTTCTCTGTATCACTTGAATAGCGGGTTGTGGTTCTGCAAGAGCATTAATATGCGATATTTTAAATTCCAGTAAATCATGGCGGACTCGGTTAAAACGGGTAAAGGATACTATGCAAAGAAACAGCTCTGCTACAATTGACGAGGTGTGTGTTTAATGTACATACCACAGCGTTAGGTTTTTTTACCAGCTTAAAGAGAGTTGTGGCTTCAAATGCGACTTGTTGAATGCTAGCAACGCCATTACTGACGTTTTCTTTTTCTTATCAGTCTATGCCTATCGTGTCGGTATGAAATCTCGTGGAAACCTGTTTAGAATGCGCTTAAGTTTATTATTTCTCGATGTTTTCTTCACTAATAAAACCTTTTGCAGCCATCAAGCTCAGGAGTTTCAAGAAGGTACGCGTACGCGTATCCATGTCATTTTCGTTTTCCTAGTCCGGAAGTTATCCCAAAGATTGAGCCCCAGGATCTTTTGGAGATCGCTGGAAGTACAGCTCAGGCGGTAATGCAGTTTTACTTTGATGGTTATTCCAGGCAGAGGGATTTCCTCTGAATTTAGCACTCATGTGACACCTTTGTTGATTTTCTCAAAGGTTTTTTTTAAGTTCAAAGACGTCAATGCTGCAATAAAGAAGCATGAAGAAGCAAAGAGTGCTTCCAGAAAAAGTAGGAAGTCTTCGTTGGCAGTCGAAACGCCGGCTCCCGTCGCAAAGCATTCCTCCAAGAAAAGAAGCAGGGAGTGCGAGGAGAAATCTCAGTCAAAAGAAAGTTCGCAGAAAAATAGCCAAGAGCCGCCTAAATCAAGAAAGGGGCCTACGAAGGAAAGGGAAAAGACGAAGTCTCCAGACAAAAAGGTAACATGATTCGATATCAGTTTTATTATCACTACACTGACAAGTACTTCGCAGTGCAATTGACTCAAAAAAATTTGATTACCAGGGAATTTTCTTTCTTGCAAGGGAGAGTAAACCGGTTTTTTGATCTTTTTAAGAACCCATTC